TGGTAGAGTGCTAGCCTTGAGCTGAAGAGCTGAGGGACAGCGCCCAGGCCCAGAGTTCAGGCCCCACAACCGGACCCAAAATATATATATATATATAAAATAAAAAGATAGCATTTTGTAACTTGATTCTTTCACTACATATGTGTCATGTTTCTTTTCTATACATGGAGGGTTACCCTAATTCCACTACTGTTTTTAAAGCATGTCTGGTTTCCTTGTTGACTATAATGAACATGATTGAAGATACTTCTTTGTGAATCTGGGAAAATATTTCTGTGGAATACGAATCTAGAAGTAGACATGAATATTTAATTGTCCTAAAAAATTGTGGTTGGCAACAGAAAATCATAACCTTCATTTCTTCATATTTCATTACTTGATAGGCTCTACTTGATGCATTTTGATGCAGGAATAATTTTTTCATCTTTCAGAATCCTCAGTGAAAATCATCTGACTGAATTGCGCAAGGATTCTTTTGAAGGCCTGCTATCTGTCATGGTCTTGTAAGTTCACCTATTTGTAAGTTATCTATAAGATGAATAAGTCATTCAAATTGGATCATTATTAAAATCTCTTCCAGCAATAAAATTCTACAGTTTTGTCAATCACTGTATATATCAGCCATCTCCAGCATTACTTAATGCATGTCAATCATTTAATGAGGAAAAAACCCATGCCTTTTACTGAGAAAAAATGGTAATAAGCCTGCTGCTGCACCAATGAACCCTGTTTTAAAAAATGCTCGTGTTCCATCTACTTGTATTTGTATTCAGTTTACAGCTTGGGTATTGAACCCAATCCAGTCAGTTTTTGTACAGCCCATAAATTAAGAAAAGTTTTTACTCTTTTTTTATATGTGTTTACTGGTCTTGGGGAAGGGCCTGGGCATTGTCCCTGAGCTTCTTTTGTTCAAGGCTAGCACTCTACCACTTGAGCCTCAACTCCACTTGCAGGTTTTGGATTATTTTTTTTTATGGTTTATTAGAGATAAGAGTTTTACTGATTTCCTGCCTGCACTTGCTTCAAACTGCAGTCCTTAGATCTCAGCCTTCTGAGTAGCTAGGATTCAGGCATGAGCTATCAGTGCCCTGCTCAGGTTTTTACTTTTTTTTTATTTTATTTTATTTTTATTGTGAAAATACTGTACAGAGGGGTTACAATTACATGGGCAAGATAATGAGTACATTTCTTATCAAGCATT